CCCGTGTCCTCCCTGCTCCCCACCTCTGTGGGGGTTTCGGGACATGGGAAGGCTCTGGCCCTCGAGGCCGACCCCGCCTCGCAGCCAGCCAGTGGCGCCTGCAGCCCTGGCCCCCCAGGGCAGCCCCCCCACCCTCGCCCAGCACGGGACCAGCCGGCGCGTGAGAGGAACCGTCCTCTGGATACTCAGGAGGGGACGGGGCCGGCAGGGGCCGCCGCTGCCCCCCGCTGCCCCTTGCTGCCATGTGCCGTGTTCACAGGAGTCCCGGGTCTGGGCGTCCTCGGAGCCGGGGGGCGGGAGGGGCATCCCGGTGCAGTGCGGGAGCCAGGGGAGGCCCCGTGGAGCCCGGAGCTGACCAGACCCGGCCTCGGAGCCCAGCCACGTCTCACACCCAGGCCCAGCGGGTCTGGTGCAGTGGGTGCCTGGGCACCGGCCCCGAGCCGGAGGGAGACTGACCGGCAGCCGCTGTGCAGCTCCCTTCCGCCCTGGGGACGCAGGTCCGGCCAGCGAGGGGCCCGGCCTGGCGGGTCCTGCCGGTGGGGGGCAGACCCTGGCAGGCGGCTGTTGGGCCGGAGACCGCAGCCCACCCGCCGCCCGGCAGGCTGAGCCGGCTGTCTGGGCCGGGGCCTGGGGTCTGCGGAGGGGCCGGGTGGGGCCCGGGCCGCAGCCGAGCCAGTGGTCCCCCCGGGCAGAGAAGCCCTCCTGGGGCCCAGTCCCCCGCAGCCCCGGGCCCGGCTGCACGACTCAGGGGTCCCCCCGGCCTCACCCCGGCGCTCCCGCGGCCAGGAGCCCCTGTCCTCCCTGCCCCTGGCCGGCCGCCCGGCTGGTGACGGGCGGGGACAGCTCGGCACTGCCTACCGCCCTCCGGTGCGGTCCAGCTGCCATTATTTTTAGCTATTTTTGTTGTTGTTTCCCGTCTCCTCAAGGCCTTTTTACAGCGCGTGGTTTCCTAGGAGGCTGCTGACGAGAGACCCGGGAAAGCGGAGCCTCTTGCCCGGCCGCGGGGCCTCCCCACGCTGCTGCTCGGGGTGCTGGGTCCCCGCCGGGGCCGGGAGCTGCTCTGGTCCTGAACCGGCCTGCCCGCCGGGGTCGCCGAGACTCCCGCCGTGCCGAGGCCGCGTCTGCTCCCTGGAGACACCGGGGAAAGGGTGGGCTGAGGGCCCCGGGGCGGCGCCCGCCGGGGAGCTGGGTGCAGGCGTCTGTCTGGACGCGAGCCCGGGACGCCCTGCGCACCCTCGACCCCGGGTCCGGAGCGAGGCCGGATCTCACATTGCGGCGGGTCCTGAGCATGTGTTGGGCTCTGTGCCCCACCCCAGGTGGCACCTTCTGGGGTACAGCCCAGGGGCCTTGGGGGAAGGCAGCTCCGATCTGAGGGTGAGCCCCATCTCCACGAGGATGCCCCGGCCGCGTGGCCCCAGCGGCAGGAGCTGCGCCAGCCGGTGTGCGGGCCGAGGCGGCAGCCCGGGGGTGCTCGGCCCGTGGGTGGTGGCAGGAAGGGGTGCGTCCTCTCTCGGGGCCATGCACAGCCCCAGTCGAGTGCTCCCACTGGGCAGGGCACCCCCGGGCCAAGTGGGGCCCTGCGGGGCGCCCCGGACATCCTCTTTGGCTTTGCCTGTGACCCACGGAGCCCGTCGGGCAGCCCCACCGGCTGCAGGGTGTCGGGGTTCCCATGCTGCGTCTTGAGGGCCCCCCTTTCCTGCGTCCGGGTGAGCCGCTGTTTCTTTGTGGGGCCCTGAGCTCCCGGTTCTGGCCCCACCGCCGCCGCCCACCCCCCCCCCACCCCCGTCCTGCTGACTCAGCTGTCCTCAGGCCGTGACACAGGGCAGCTGGGGCCTGCAGGTGCGGGAGCTGGTCGGGCGGGGGCCCCTGTGCACGCGCACCCAGCCCAGCGCCTGCCGCGTCCCTGCTGGCCGCCTCGGGCGTCTCGTTCCCGCTGCGTCCCCGGGGCCGGGTCCTGCCGTCCTGACTCACCCGGCTCCCCGCCGGGAAGGCCCCGCGCAGACCCTCCGCCGCAGCTCTTGAGTCTGTTTGCTCCCCCACCCCCGTTACGTGCCGTCCGTGGTGCGCGTTTAACGCCCAATTTGCTCATTGTTGCTCCCGGGTGCGCTGATTTAGGGCTCACGCTGCTCCCCAGCCCACAGGACGGGAGGCTGGGCTGGTTCCCAGAGCTGGGCATCGGGCGCTGGGCGGGGCCGGGGGCCCTGGGCTCGGGGTGTGGGTCCTGGGCCTGCGGACACTGAGCACCGTGTTGAGGAGGCCGGGGCGTCGGTGTGCCCGGTGTGCCCATGAGCAGGGTGCCGAGGGGCCTGGGGGCAGCGTCCTGGAGGGGCAGCAGCAGCCTCAGGACCCCTGCTCGCTGGGGAGGACCCCCTTTTCCTTGGGGTTCCACATATTGTTTATTGAACCACCTCAGCCGTTCTATAGTCTGCCAGGCCGGAGGCCCCAGGGCCCCCACGGGCGACCCTGCTGGTGCCCAAGCGTCTCCCAGTGGCTGCGCCCCAGGCCTGTCCCTGGGTTCCTGGGAACTTGGTTTTCTTTGTTTTTTTTAAAGATTTATTTATGCACACAAGAGCTGGGGAACAGACCAGAGGTGCGGGGGTGAGAGGACTCCCCAGAGCCAGAGCGGGGAGCAGAACAGGTGGATTGACTGAATGCACTGCTGAGGGGAGCAGCGGGCGACAGGAGGGGTCGGCTGCACCATGTGGGCAGCTCCCTGGCGGGGATGGAGCTCGTGCTGCAGAGGCTGCGGATGCTTCACAGGTTGCGTCCTAACTCCTTGAGCCACCAGGGAGGCCCCAGAACTTGTTTTTCTCATGTACAAAACAGGGTAAAATCGAGCCGTGCCGGGACACGGGACACAGGCACACCTGCGAGGGCGGGGCCCCTCCTCTCGGCCCTGCCGGGCTCGGGGCAGCCGCGCCCCGTCCTCCGTGGGGCTCCGGGCACAGGACTGTCCTGGGCGGGGTGCATCCCCGGGGCCGCTGCTGACCCTCCCGGGACACTCGCGCCGCCATGGCGGCAGAGCTGGGGGCCGGCCCTCCTGGCCCCTCTCCAGCCCTGGCGCTGGGACCCGCCTCGGCGCCCCTATTGTCCCGGCCCCTCTGCGCCTTCTGCAGGCTCCCTCTGAGCCGTCCGAGCGTCTGGAGGTCACAGGAGGGGACATGCACACGGCGGCTGTGGCCCTGGTGCGGGGACGGGGCTTCAGTCCTCTGCTCTGCCCGCAGGGCCACCCTCCCAGTCGCCCTCTCTGCGCCCACTTTCCGGAGCCCACATGGACCCGGGGTGGCCCCAGGCTGGCGAAGGCCAGGCCTCTGGCGATGGGCAGCGCGGCCGGACCCTAAGGTGGCCGCCGGGGCTTCCTCCTGCTGCCCCACTGGGTCTGGCACGTGGAGCAGCCGTGGCCCGGGCTGGAGCAGGTGGCAGTGGCCCTGGGGCCCAGAGGACTGGTGGACGCCCATCTGCAGCACCAGCCGCTGAGGCATGTCCTGGTTTGGGGGTGCCTGGTGCAGTCCCCGGGGTTGCAGCAGGATAAGGGGAAAGGCGCTTTGCCAGCGAGCCTCGCTGCATGGTCTCTGCGGCCCGGCCGGCCCCTGGAGCCTGGACGCCGGGGTAGGCGGCCCTGCCGCCCTCCGGCCGGCTGCTGGCAGGACCCAAGGGTTCAGCTGCCTGACAGCTGCCTTGCCAGTCGGGAGCGCGGTTCTGAAAGGTGGACACTCGAGGCCGGACTCCTCCTCGCATCCCCTCGGCAGTGTGGCCCCCGGCGGGCCCCATGTGTGGCCTAGAGGCTCCACCCTGCGAGGCCACTGGACAGCAGGCCCTCGCAGGGGCCAGGCCGTGTGTCCCTGGCCTTGAGACTCGGTCCGGGGTAGCCGTGTCCGCGCCGAAACCCAGCCCCGGGTGGGGAGCAGGGACCGTCCACACCAGGACTTCCAGGACTAAGGACGCGCCCACTGGCCCTTGTCTCCCCCTCTGTCCACGCCGACCCCTCGGGGGCCCACACTGGTCAAGGCACCACAGTGTCCTGACAGCCCCTGGCTCCCTGTCCTGTGGGGCTGGACGCTCTGCCTGTCCTCAGGGCCCAGGCCAGGGTCTCCCAGGTGGGTGCCGCCGGGGCCTCCCCTCCCCTCCCTTCCTGCTGCGGGGGCATGAGGAGCTCAGGCCGGCTCGCCACGGCCTTGGAAGTCCCCTGGGCAGAGACCACGCGGGGCCTGAGCCCCTCGAGTGTGGAGGGCGCCCCGACGCCCAGGTGGCCGCCCCAGTGCCGACGTGTGAGCCGGTCTTGGGAGTCGCCTGGGCCGCCCGCCGACGTCAGCGGGAGCGGTCAGGGTCAAGGTGGGCGGCAGCCAGGACGGGAATAGCTCCCAGAGCCAGAAACGGCAGCCGCGGGGCCCACGCAGCGCCCGCCCGCGCCCCGCTGCCACCGCCCGCAGCCGCCTGGCCTCTGGGCCCGACCAGCCTGGTCAGGAGACGCTGCCCCCCACCCGAGCGCGCGGCTGGCTAGTGCGTTCCGTCTGCTCCTGGCACAGCGGGGGTTGCCGGCCGCTCGCAGCAGGGCAGCCTCGGGACAGAGGCGGTCAGGGGCGCACGCTCTGGGGCAGGCTGCCCGGGGGGCGCAGAGGCCGCGCGAGCCTGCCCACACCTGTGTGCCTCTCCCCCTCGCTCCTCTGCCCACGTGCCCCCGGCTCAGGCTGCCGTGTGCGCAGCCCTGCCTGGCACAGTGACAGGGCGGGACGGCTGCCCAGAGGGGCCGTGGTGGCCGTAGGGAGGGTGGTGTGGATGAGGCGGGACTGTGGGCGCAGAGGCGAGGACCCATTGGCTGCTCCCCCCCCCTTGGGCCCCTCCGCAGCCACCTCCCCGCCCCATGTGGGGCCCTGCGGGCGGCCCCGGCCTGGTCTGCCCCATTGGCGGCTGCCTGGGCGGGACCGTGTGCAGGTCTCCCCAGCAGGGGCCGGGGCAGAGCCCAGTGCGTGTCTCGCGCTGACCCTGTGCCTGTCCTGCAGGTCAGCTGGCCGCCGGCACCTGTGAGATTGTGACCCTGGACCGGGACAGCAGCCAGCCGCGGAGGACCATCGCCCGGCAGACGGCCCGCTGCGCCTGCAGGAAGGGGCAGATCGCGGGCACCACACGGGCCCGGCCCGCCTGCGTGGACGGTAAGCGCCTCGGCCACCCCCGCACTGTCCGCGGCGGCCGCTCTGGGTGGGAGGGCCGGGCCCTTGGCGCTGAGTGTCGACCAGTGCGGTCTGGGGCCAAGGCCGCACTCCCCCCACCCCTGGGCGCCTGCCTGGGGCGAGACACGGCCATCACCAAGGCCCGGGGGGGTTCCCGGGAAGGAGGGCAGATCACGGGCCTCAGAGGGGCCAAGCTCGCCCGGCCAGGGAGCCCATGTGGCCTGCGGGGTGTCCCGAGGGCGTGGCGCATTGGGTGTGCCCCGCCCCCCGCGGCGGGGCGGAGGGCAGCCTGGGCGGCCTGGGGCTAAGCCCGTGCTGGGGCCCGGCCCGTGGGTGTCCCGGCTGCAGGGCTCGGGGTGTCCAGAGCACCCGGAAAGGTGGCGCCGCTCAGGGCTCCTCGCTCCTGGAATCTGGGTCTGCTCACCTGAAGCCGCGCTGCCCCGCGTCCCTCCCCGAGCCGGGCCCGGAGACCCAAGTCAGGACCCGGCCGTGTCCACGGGAGGCCCAGCCGGGGGCGGCGCGTCCCACACGGTGGGGCTTGGGCCGGGTCTCGCTCCGTCTTGGCGCTTCTGCTGCCCGCTCCTGCCTGCGGGTGGCGTCGCCGAAGAGGACGCTGCCTCGTCCCGCTGGGGCCGCCGTGGCTCTTGCTGGCCGGCCGCGCCCGGGAGCACGGAGCTGGGGAACCGGTGCCCAGTGCGGCCGCCCGCCTGCTGGCCGGCGCGCACCTCCCCCCGCGCACTGGCACACGCGGCGCGGGCGTGGGCAGGCGAGCGTGAGGGGCTCCGAAAACTCCCGGCCTGGAACCCCGCGGCGGGGTGGCCGGGCCCAGCTCGTCCCGCCCAGGACCTTGGCAGAGCTGCAGCCGTGAGGGAGGGGCCGCTTCGGCAGCGTTTTGAGGGGTGAGGAAGCGTCCACCGGGGACTCCTCCCCAACGCAGGGGCCGGGGCGGGGCGGGGGGAGCTCCCGGGGGGCCTCTGAGCCCCAAGTCTGGGTGAGCCTCCGCGGCCTGCATGACGCGGCTCCTGCGCCTGCCCGAGTCCGTCCACCTTCGAGAGCCTCGGAAAGGCTCTGCCCGGCCCTCCTCCCGGCACCCCGATCCCGGCCGCGCCCGCGTAAACACAGCTGCTGCTAAAGTCGGGGTGCGGGTCTGCCGGCCAGTTACATGGACAGCAAAGGCGCCGCCAGGGACTGGCAGAGCGAGGCCCGGGTGGGGCAGCAGGGACCTGGGTCGGGCAGGAGGAGCCGGACGCAGCGGGAGGGGGCGCAGGCGCCACCCCTAAGAGCGGCGCCGGAGGGCAGGTGGCTGGGGTGAGGCCCACGGCCCGCTGGGCCTGCCGACGGGGCTCAGGGCCGAGAGCCCGAGTGGGGCTTGTAGACAGAGCGGCCAGGGCCTGGGCGTGGAGCCCCAGGGTGGAGCGCGGCCGGGGTGGGCCTCGGAGGGCTGGGCAGCCAGGGCGGACCCTGCAGACGTGCCGCCTCTGGGATGAGGAGCAGGCCGGGCGTGGGCGCTTGTCTTGGTCCCGACGGCAGGACAGCTCGGGGGCCGGGGGAGGCCGTGATGCACCGCAGCTCCCCACGGCGTCCTCGAGGGTCCTGGGGGCTGCCGTGCGCCATTCACACGGCAGGGGGGCGGCGCGCCCCGGGCTGGGCACGGCACTCACCTCTTTGGATGAAAACCCCAACCTTGTTAAGGCTTTGTTTTTAGAGAGTTTGGGTTCAGAGACTAGCGGGGCAGAAAGCAAAGTGTCCCCACCCCACCCCGCAGGCCGCCCCCCAGGGCCCTCCCAGGACACACGGTGACCAGCATGTCGAGTCCGTGTCGCAGCCACATCCACAGGGTCCGCGGCCACCTCGGCCCGGGGTGTCGTGGGCCCTGGGGCAGGTGCTCCCCCCGCACAACCACCCTAGAGCCCGCTGGCGCTGGTCCAGGAGGCCGGGCCGGCCGCCACAGTCCCAGAGGGCAGCGCGTGCCCGTCTCTTCCCCGCGGAGGAGGGAGCAGCCGGGGGGCATGCACAGACGCCGGCAGTCTGCTCGCTCCAGGGGCCGGAGCAAGGGTCTGCACGCGCTTCCGCAGCCTCACGTCTGACACGAGGCTCACGCGGGGGCGAGCTCCACGCCCCCCCAGGGCCACGCGCCGCCTGCCAGCCTCCCAGCAGGGGGACAGAGGAAGTCCCCGCAGGAAGGCAGGTCCGGGGGGGGCGACTCCCCCGTGCACCGGTGCCCTGACCTGGCCGCCCCGGCCCCCCAGTGCATGTCAGAGAGGTCAGCTCTCCCCAGCCTGGGTGTTTCTGATCCCTGGTGCTCCCCTGAGGAGCGAGGCCCCTCTGGACGGCAGGTGCCCTGGGCCGTGTTCCCTCTCCCGGGGTCAGAAGGTGCCCTCCCCGCCAGCCAGGCCTTGGGGTGTCCTGTGTGCTGTGGGGACAGAACTGCCTCATGTCATGGACCCCAGCACCAGACACAGGTGGTCAGTGGTCAGCTTTCTGAGAGCCACCAGGCTGCCGCCCGAGGGGCTGTGTCTGCTGCTCCTGCTCCCCAGCCCCCTGAAGCTGGGGTCCAGCACCCAAGTGCCTCCCACTGCATCCCCCAGGGCGGCCTCACCCCAGAGCTTTGGCTGCCAGCCACGGCCAGGTTTGCAGCATCGGAGGCCCGCGGTCTCCTTCCAGGGCCCACCGGGGTCTGGGGAGTGGGGAGCGGGCGGGCGGGCGGGTAGGGGAGGCTCCAGGAGGAGCCTCGCGCTCCTCACCAGGCCGGGGCAAGGCCCCACTCTGCGGGTCTGCTCTCGCCTGCGGGCCGGGGCGCCAGCCGGGACACGTCAAAGCCCGGGTGCAGCTCTCCCGGCGAGGGCCCTCGTCCCAGCCCCCCGGGTCCTGCACCCTGTAGGGGACGCGTGAGCTGATGGCCGTGGCGCCCATGCATCCCCACAACGTGTCCGAATCCTGGGGTCGGTGCCGGGGGCCCTTGCCGCGGATTCGCCCGGCTCAGGGGGTGGGGGTCCTCGTGGGGCCACACACAGGTGCAGCCTGTGGGGCTTTGAAGGACAATCACGTGTCCGGCAAGGTGGGGGACCCGACCAGAGCTGTAACCAAGGCAACCACGCCCAATGCGCAGAACCTGTGTGGGCACAGGGAGCGGCGCGGGAGGCGACGTGGGGGAGGCACCTGCCAGCCCCAAGCGCCAGGAGCTGGGAGGGGCCCCCCGAGTTTCAGGGCAAGCGCAGCCTCGACTCGACCTCAGACTAACAGGAAGGCGACTCGGGGACTCCAGGTGCTCAGCGCAACCTGGCTTGGATGGAAGGGTGGACACAGGGTGGGCAGGTGGACTCAGGGTGGGCAGGTGGACACGGGAGGAGATGTGGAGGGGGTGGGGGGAGAGCTGGGTGGGCAAGCGGAGGGAGGGCAGGGTATCAGGTAGGCGGGTGGACAAGAGGGCGGGCAGGTGGGGGAAACGGAAGGGGGACAGGCGGACAGAGAACGACTTTCTCAGTGTTTGGAGGGCTCCGCGGTGGAACCTGCGGTGAGTGTTGGGGGTTCTGGGCCTTGCGGCACTGGCGCCCCGAGGAGGCAGCGTTCTCGGCCTGGCCGGTCTGTTGTTCCCCCGTGAGGGGCCACACCCAAGAGTGGCCCAGACAGCGCCCAGCAGCCCCTGCGCTGGGGCCCTCGGGACAGGGCGGTGGCTGTCCCCAGGGAGCGCGTGAGGACAGAGCAGCTGCCTCGCCCCACCCAGGGCGCCTGTCAGTCGTGGGAACCGGCCGAGCAGGGAGCCGGGAGGGTCTTCTCTGCCCGCGCCCCCAGGGAGATGCCCGGGACGGGCGCGGGGACGTGCGCTCGCCGCTCTGATGCCCGGTGGCGGCCGCGGGGCTGCCTGGGGGCCCGGGGAGCGGGGCAGCGCGGGCTGAGAACCCGCTGATCAGAGAAGCGTCTCGGGAACCAGCACATTCCCTGTAACGATTTAAAGAAAAGAGACTCATGACGGCGGCGCTCTCGGAACTCCGCTGTCTGAAAGTTGTAGAAAGAAATTTTGTCTAATTCCGACAGTGGTCGCCTACCCTTTGCAGCCTTTCCCGGGGTGACGGAAGGGGGCTCCCCAGCCGGGAGGGCTGGGGCGCTGAGGGGGCGCGGGGGAGCTGGGGCGCCTGGGGGGCGGGAGGCAGGGGTGCATCTTAGTCCCGGCGGGGCTGGTCTCGAACCACCAGCCCCGCCCCCTCGTCCTGCGGGGCCCTGTGCTCTGGGTATGCCGGGCCGTGGCGTGGCCCCAATAAGCTCTGCTGTCCCCTCCCCAGAGGGAGTCCACACCCTCCCCCGGGCCCTGCGTCCCCCGTGTCCTCACGGAGGCCGGGCGGCAGGAGCCCCGGCCAGGCCCCCATCTCTGGCCGCGCCTGTGGCAGGCCGAGGCTTTCGCGACCCTCTTCCCCGGACAGCCGTGGGGAGAGGCGGCCCCTTCCCTGTAGCGTCACAGCCCCCGGGGCCGGGGAGCAGCTCTCGTGCTGCGGGACATGCAGGCCCAGCCGCAGCCCCGCGCCGCCCACCCCGGCCCTCCAGCCCAGCTCCAGGGGGCGGAGGGAGACGCGGCGAGCGGGCATGAAAGGCCCCTTTGTCCCGGGCTGGGGCCAGGCCTGGGCCGCCCCAGCAGGAAGCGGCGCTGAGTGGGGCGGGCTCTGGGGACAAAGGCGCCAAGCGCACCACGGGCTGCAGCGCCCTCAGCAGGCGGGGCTGCAGCGCCCTCAGCAGGCGGCTCCACGGGCACACGGGCCGCTCGTCCCTCCACCCACAGGCGCAGGGCCCAGGGGTGGCCGCCCCGCAGGGCGTGCACGTGGGCGCGTGCTGGCTGCCGGCATGTGAGCTGCGTGTCCACACGTGTGTCCACATGTGGCCGCGAGGCATCACTGGCGGGGTCCCCTGCGAAAGGGGAATGTGGGGACCCTTTGGAAAGTCACTGGGAAGTCCCAGCACAAGGGCAGCCTGGCCCGCGAGCCGCCGCGGTCACTGACACCCCTGCGCGCACGGCGCCCCTCCCCGCGGGGAAACCCAGGCAGACGTCAGCAGGGAGCCTGGCTGCCTGGCACGTCGGTGCACCAGGGGAGAGGCGGGCAGGGAGAGCGGGCACTGAGGGCCACGGCGCAGCCACACCTCCTGGGGTCAGGGGCTCTGGGGCCTGCGCCCGCCTCTGCCTCCTGGGGCTCGGGGTGCTCAGAAGGTGAAGTCCAGGTAAAAGGAGTAGAAACGGGAAAACCTGGAGCTGCCCTGCCCCGGGGGCCTCTGCTGGAGGGGAGGGGCGTCAGGCAGGGCCTGCAGGACCCCTGGGGCCTAGAGGTCAGGGCCCTGGGGCATCTCTGCGTGGGGGGATGCGTGGTGAGGGGCCGTGCCCACCCCTCCTGTGAGGCCCTGGGACTTCTCCCGTCCCCCCAGGGGTCAAGTTGGAGCCGTGAACCTGAGCCTCACTGAGCTGGACAGAGGCCGTCCACAGGGCCCGCGTCCAGCTGCCTGCCCAGCATCCACATGGACGGCCTTTGGCTCTAGAACCCCGACGTGCCCCCGGCCAGGCGGAGCGACCACCCAAGGGCCAAGGACGCCCCGCGTCCTTCTGTGAATCGGGGATCAGGAAGAGCGGTTCCTCCGGGGCGCTGGGGACGCCCGTCCCTGGCCCAGAGCCCACACTCGCGTCACGGCGGGGTCCTGCCTCTAGACTTTCCGGCCAGGGGCTGGGGGCACGTCCAGGCCAGGGCGTGATCAGGGCAGGGTGGGGGTGTCCTCCCGGGGAAGAGCCTGCCTGGGGTCTCGTGTTCCCCAGGGACCACCCCCTCGGGTCGCGGCCCCATCCTGGAGCCCCCGGGGTCCCACCCTGGGGAGGCCTCTGCCGCCGGCTGGTCCCCGAGGTGGGCAGGCGCCCGCCCCTGCCGTCCTCCTGGCTCGCCCTGCCCGCCTGCCCTGGGGCTGTGCTGCCCGGGCCCCCCCGTCCCCTTCCTGGCCCCGCGACGCCAGACAAGGACGAGGCCCGCGGTGACCCCCGGGAAGGGCCTGGCCGGCCCACCCGCCTGGCTCCAGGGGCCCCTCGCCCGCCCCGCTGGGGGCGCCCCGCGCTGACCGTGTCCTCTCCGCAGCGCGCATCATCAAGACCAAGCGCTGGTGTGACATGCTGCCGTGCCTGGAGGGCGAGGGCTGCGACCTGCTCATCAACCGCTCCGGCTGGACGTGCTCACAGCCCGGCGGGCGGGTGAAGACCACCACGGTGCGTGCCCGCTCCCCGCGCCCGGGCCCCGCCCCCAGGCCGCGCCCCGCCCACCCCGCGCCCCGCCCCAAGCTCCGCCCACCCTACGCCCAGGCCCCGCCAACCCACTCCCGAGCCCCGCCCACTCCGAGCCCCGCCCAAAGCCCCGCCCACACCACGCCCGAGCCCCGCCCCCAAGCTCCGCCCACCCTACGCCCAGGCCCCGCCAACCCACTCTTCCGAGCCCCGCCCAAAACCCCGCCCACCCTACGCCCAGGCTCCGCCAACCCACTCTCCCAAGCCCCGCCCACCCCGAGCTCCGCCCACCCTACGCCCAGGTCCCGCCCACTCACTCTCCCAAGCCCCGCCTGCCCCACACCCCGCCCACCCTCTACCAAGCCCCGCCCACCCCGCGCCGGAGCCCCGCCCACCGTCGGCGAGGGCAGTGCCCACAGGCAGCCCCGGGTCGTGGGGCGATCGGCCGGGCCCTCGGGCTGTCGGCGGGGCCGCGGCCTGGTCCTAGGCGGGAGGCCGGCCCGCAGAGGACTTCGGGCCTCCTGGGGTGAAGGGGCGTCGGGCGGAGCGGACTGGGGGGCGAGGCCAGCTCCTGGCATGCAGTGTCCTGCCGCGTGGCGGGCGGGCGCCCCGGGAGACGCCCGGAGGGACTGGAGGGTCTGGCCTGGCCGTGCCGTGACCAGCCCCCGCCTCAGTGGTGTCGGCACGTGGCCCTCGTCAGGGTGGCGGGGACCCTGAGGGCATGACCTGCAGCGGCCGGCTGGGCTGGGCTGGGCTGGGCTGGGCTGGGCTGGGCTGGGCGTGCTGCCCTGCCCGGCAGGCTCTGGGGGCCGCTCCCCGCACCTCCCGCCCCGGACAGTGGCCACGGCAGCACCTGCTCCGGCCCAGCGCCGCCTCGGCCCCTTAGCTCCTCCAAGAGGCCACTGGACGGTGGGGACCCTTATCGCCTCAGCCCGCAGGCCTGGAGCTGGCCGCTCGGGGAGGGGCTGCCTGCGGCCCAGCAGGTCCTGGGGGTGCTCGGAGGGGCGACTATGACCCAACTCGCGCCTGCGTCACCCCACTGTCCTCGGGGCTGTGGTTTGTGCCGCTTAAATCGTGAGGGAGCGGCTGAGATGGGAGGCGAGCCCACAGAGAGCCCGTGGTCCAGGGTCCGGGTTGGGGTGCTCTTGATGCCCAGGCTGAGGCAGCCTGTGCCAGGTCGGGCTGTAGAGGGGGCTCTGGGAAGCTGAGCGCTGACCCCTTCCTCGGGCCTGCAGCCCCTGTCCTCTCCCTGCGGGGGTCCCTTGCTCAGCGCCTCCTGTTCTTGGTTCCATGTTGGTTGCTGGGGTGTCCCATCCCCCAGATCCCAGGGAGCTGAGGCCACCCCCTCATAACCCCCCAGAGATGCCACTTTGGGGGCCACGGAGCCTGCGGGGAGGCCCTTGCTCAGAGCCTGAGGTCCAGCGTCTGCAGCACGAAGGGTTGAGGCCCCTGAAGGCCGGGCGTGGGTGAGGGGGTGCGTGGGCTGTGCCCAGACCCTCCCCGCAGGCCCCACGGGTCCCCACATTCTCCCTGGTCCTCTAAGTCATCATTTTTGAAGTTCGTGATTTCAAGCCCCTCTAGGCAGACCCGCTTGGTCGTGAGCGAGACGCTGGTCATCCTGGTCATCCCCTGCATTCAGGGGTCTCGGGGCCCCTCCCCAGCAGCAGCTGCTCACGCCTGTCCCATCACGCTGGCAGCTCTTCCGCTCGCCCACCCGCTTGCGGTGACCGTGGCCGGCGGTCTCCGCTGTGACGGTTGTGATTGTTCTGGAACTGCAGACTGGCTGGGCCTGGGCCGAACCCGGCCTGGAGACCCGGCAGTGGTCAGTGCTATGGGGCAGGAGGCAGCCCCCACCCAGGCCCCCAGCCCTGTGGGTCCACGCCCAGGGCAGGGCGAGGCCTGGAAGGAGGGGCCCCGGGGCGCAGGCCCGCACTCGCTCTCCCTTCTCCAGAGAGCAGAGGTGCCCAGCTGGGCAGAGAGCCGGGCTCCCAGGGCTGGGCGCCCGCAGCCGCCTCCTGCTGGCTCAAAGCCTGTTGAAAAGGAGGGTCTCACAGGCCCCCGGACCAGTCAGGCCCCCGACCCTGATCTGCTCCCCCACCTCTCCAGGGCCCGCTGGCTCCTTCCAGCCATGAGTAGGCTCTGCCTGTTTAACAGAGAACATAGGAAGGCGTCAGTGCGGAAATTCGGGCGTCCATGCTCTGGGGTCAAGATGCCGCGTCCGTGGGGGCCCGCCCAGGGTGTAGCGGGGGAGCTGGCTCCGGCCCCCTCCCGGGGACTCCCGCCTCCAGCATCAAGGTGGCGGCCGGAAGAACAGCCTGGAGCAGAGGAGGGCAAGCGTCCAGGGCCTGCCGGGCAGCACTGGAGATGGACACAGACGGCGCGTGGGGGCCGAGGGGTGCACCAGCTGCAGGTCAAAGCCGCCCGGATCTTAGCCCAGGACCACTCGCGGGAAAAGGCGGAGAAGCGGGCTGCGAGGGGAGGCCGGCCCCCGTGCGCGGGCGGCTCTCTCCAGAAGAGCGCGGTTGTTCCGGCTGGGGCCAGACGCCGGCCTCGGGCCAGGCGCTGCGTGCGGCGGCTCGGGAGACGAAGCCACGACGGCCCCCGGCGGCACCACAGCCAAGAGGGGGCGGGAGAGCGAGGTCCCCGGCGCCGGAGACAGACCAGCTGACGCGGGGCCCGAGCAGGCGTTCACTCAGGACCTCAGCCCGGGCTCGAGGTGCCGCTTTGGGCAAAGGGGTGAACACAACAGCTTGACATTTGCAAGGTTGGACGCGCCGTAGGGTAAGTGAGAGAGAGCAGGCTTCCCGCCCTCCCGCGTCAGCATCCATGATGGACCCGCGGGCCTGAGGGCGGCTCCTGCACTGGGGTGTGGGTGTGCACAGCCCGGCGCGCCCGGCCGAGACTGGGCTTATAAGGGGGGCGTCACGGGGGCGCCAGCAGAAGAGCAGAGCGAGGGAACGAGGAAGAGCCACGGAAGGGAGCAGAATAGGAGGGAGCCGCGAGGGAACAGGGAGCCGGGGAGAGGCCTGCCAGCCCCGGGGCCCAGCCCCGCCTGCCGTGTGCCTGGGGCCGGCCCCCATGTGCAAGCTCAGGGAACGCCTGAGACGCGCCCAGGGCTGCAGGACCCGCCTTCACCTGCCCAGGTCACAGAGCCCCCGCTCCGCGCCCCCCGCCCTGCGGCGACCCCCGCTTGCCCGTCCTGAGAAAGTCGACAGGGAAAGCCGAGGCCAGCGAGGAGGGCAGAGCCGCTGCTGGAGAGGCCGGGGGTGAGCACCCGGGGCCGTCCTGCCCGGGAGCGGGGAGCCCGCCTCCCCGCCGCGCACCCACTCCCCGCGCCGCGCCAGCTCTGCACGTGGAAACAACGGCCGTTACAACGAACTGCCGTGCCCCGCGGCCAGCTGAGCGAGGGCCGGGGGCAGGCGGGGGCAGGGAGGGGAGGGCGGCTCGGGGCCAGCGCGGCGCAGGGGGCCGGCGCATCGAGTGGCGGCATCAGCGTCCAGCCGGCCGCCGGCACGGACTGCTCCTCGCCGCGCGGAGGCAGCTGGCCAGCGGGAGCGGGCGCAACCCCTGCGCGGGGCTCTGCGGGCCGAGGCGGCGGACACGGCGCCACCACCGATGACTCCGGCCCCTCGGGCGCAGTGGGAGCCCCGAGGGGGCCTGTGGAGGCTCTCGCTGACGAGAAAGCCCCCGACAAGAAGAAGAGAGGCCGCGGAAAGGTGGAAGGAATGTGAGGGAAGGCGGGAGCCGTCGGGGGCTCGCCCGGCCCCGTGCTCACTGACCCTGAATGTGGGGCTTTGGACCCAGCGTGGCATTTTCTGGGGAAACCAGGCACACGCCTGAAGGGACAGAGACAGGTCACGTCCCCAGACGGCAGGACCGAGGCGGCCAGCGGGCACTGTCCTTCGGGGTCTCGCCCCCAGGTCCTAGGCACGAGCTGAGCCCGGACCCGGAGCCCTGGCAGCCGGGAGCACCCCGGGCAGGAAGCCCCGGGCGCCTCACCAGCAGGCGCGGCTGGCCCTGGCCCGAGGGCTTCACTCCGCAGACTGCCCCGAGGCCAAGGTCCCCGGCGCCACGTGGGGCTCGAGTACCCATGGCCTGTCTCCCAGGGGCACCCCTGGCGGCGGTGGGGCCACGGCTCCTGCACCTGTGTGAGACGCCAGCACCCTGACCTCTGCCTCCCCAAAGGGACAAGAGGGGCCCCACACAGTAGGTCTGCATAAGAGATGAAAGTGCAGGGCCTCCCCGCTGGCGCAGCGGGTTGAGCGCAGCGCGTGGAGCTGTCCGTGGCCTCTGCAGTGCGGGTTCGATTCCCGGCCGGCCGGCGAGGGTCCCACAGGGCGCTGCAGACCCCTCCTGACTCCCCACTGCTCCCCTCAGCAGTGTGTTTCAGTCGAGCTGCCTGTTCTGCTCCCCGCTCTGTCTCTGGTGAGTCCTCTCACCCTCCTGCACCTCTGGCCTGCACCCCGGTTCTTGTATAAATAAAAAATAAATCTCTAAAATATTTTTTTAAAAAGACAATTTAAAAAAGAAAAGGAAAGAGAAAGAAAGGAAAGTGCACCCTGAACCTCAGCCAGGTGAGCGGAGAACCCCACCAGAGGCCGAGGGCAGCAGGTGCCAGTTGGGTGGGCACGGAGAGCCAAGGGCCGTGGCCAGTGGGTACCCCTCTCAGAGGACAAAGGAGCCCCAGCGCCCCATCAGGCCTGGGCAGAAGGGGGTCCCGTTGCACCCAGGCCCCGTGCGGTGAAGGGGCCGAATGTAGCGCTCAGGCCCGTCCCCCGCGGAGGTCGCCCACCGCTGCTGGCATCTTCCTGAAGTCCTGGCAAACACGGTCAGAGTGTCCGACACGAGACTGGACAGTCCCCGTGAAACAGGCAGCGGCCGGTGCGCCCCGGCGCTGCGGGGTCCAGGGAACACTTTGAACACTAACCGAGGAGCTTCATAAACTGGGCCGGTCGGGACTCCGGGGGGTCCCATTTTGCACGGCCCAACTCCGGCCCCCTCCCCATTTTGTCAATAAAGCTTTATTGGAACACAGCCCTGCTTGCCCTCAGCATGCAGGGTGCAGCGACAGCAGGTCTCGGGGCTGAGGCGCCGCCTGGCTCTGTGCACTCTGGTCACCCACCCAGCCTGGACGGCCAGCGTCGCCCAACTGCCCGCCGGGAGCAGGGTACAGCAGGCACCGGGCGGTCGGGCAGGGGGCAGGCCGACCTGAAGGCAGCTTTAGGGGGACGTGTGCCCGCTTGCAGCTGGAGATCCTGAAACCCGATAGAGCTGGTCGTGACGTTTAGGGGCGCAGCGTTTAATTAAAACAGTAAGTGCCATAAAAGTGAGAGGAAAGCTTTGTTGAGAAAAGCAGAAAGCAGATAAAATTACTCCAAGTCTCCAGCGAGACAGGGCTGCCGTACCCCAGCGCTCGAGGGGGTGAGTTGGCTGGAAGCCCCCGTTCCGCTCCAGCGCGGGGGTGGTGTAGGGAGGTGTCGTTCTTCCTGATTTAATTTTCAGATTTAGCACCGTTTCAGTCCAATCTCCAAAGAATTTTTTCCAAATGTTACAGTGATTTTACATTTCATCTCGGGTGTGAAGCACTCGGGGCGTCCCGGGAGCCTTGGGGAAGGTGGTGGCGCCCTGGTGGGGCCCGCGTGCGCGCAGCTCCGGCTCAGCCCGCGCCCGTCTCCAGACCAGGCTCCCTGGGGGCGCAGCTGTGCAGGCCAGTCCCGCGTGGGGGCAGCGCTGCCCAAGCCCCCTTCCCTTGGGGTCAGGGGCGGACCCCGAGTGAGTGACCCCGCGCAGCCAGGCCCTGCGTGCCCTGCCCCGCCCCGCAGCAGTGGCCACTGCAGAGCACCACGGCCCGCGTCCTGGCGCCCCGCCGGGCGGAGCCGGACCAGAGGAGACGCCTCCGAGGACAGACTCGGCAGAGCGCTGTGAGGACAGCCCGGCCCTGTGGGGACAGGACTCCGTTTTCCCATATTCAGATTAATCGATTTCTTCCCAGAAAATGAAGCTGGACTGTGTGCTCATCAATAAATCTATATTCTAGCAATTTATCAACTTGCGGAGACTGAGGAGCCCGCAGCCTGGTTCTCTGTTCAAGCACACGCCTTCCCGACAGGCCCCGCACGCCGGCCCCGCGCCCTCGCGGCACAGAAGGGCTGTGGGACAGGCAGCGGCACCCTCTGGGCGCCCTAGTCTCGGCAGCCTGTGGTGCCTCCCCCCCCCCCGCCCCCAGCATCCAGGTGCCTGTCCCCGGCCCGCGAGGGGCTGGCGTGGTGATGGCCGAGGCCGCAGCCCAGCTGCACCGGAGATGGGTCGGACCCTTGGGGTTGCCGCTGAGGTGCAGGTGACCCCGGCAGACCTGGGGAGAGGGGCTTGTGGCTCGGTCCGTGCCTGGGGCCATCCTCCGAGTCGGCTCTCTGCCTGCTCCGAGGGGTATTTGCTGCCTCCGTCTCCCCCCAGTTCAGTTCCTTGGTGATCGACGGCCGCAGCCTCGTGCTCGGCCAGAGGTGCCGAGTCAGCGCAGACGTGGCTCGGGCGTCGCCTTTGTCCTTGGGCCCGTGAGGTCAGCCTGAGGGGAGACCGATGAGCCCCCGGCTTGCCGGACCTTTGACACCGCCTGAGCCCGGAGCTGACCGCTGTCTTCTCTCTGCTCCAGGTCTCCTGACAGACACAGCCGAGAGGGGCCTCGGGAGTGGCCTCGGCTCCCTGGAGCGTCCACACCCCGGCCCCGTCCTCCGTCCACAGCGGACACCCCGGCTCTCGGCCGCCACCCGCCCGCATTTCTCAAGGCTTCCTCGGCGTCTGAGCTGAGCCTGCCCGCCGCCGGGTGTGTTGGCCCGGGACTCAGCGGGCCCCAGGCGTCCGGGGCGGGCCGGCGCCCACCAGGCGGAGGCGCCGAGGGGCGGCCGGCCAGCAGCCGAGGAGGACGGCGCGGGCCTGGGACCGGCCCCGGCGCAGAAGTGGCCGCCCCTCGTGGCCTGGACTGTCTGAATCGCTTTTATTTTCTTACCCTTCAGCACCGCGACAGACCAAAGAGCAGGCTGTTCTGACGGGACTCGCCCGGCGAGCCCCTGCCTGCGGGGCGGCGCGGACATGCCGGCGGGGCGCGGCGGGCACCCCGGCCGAGGCCACCGCCCCACGAACACTGCGGGGCCCGCTCAGGGCCAGCGCCGGCCGGAGGACCCCGGCGCCCGCCCCGCGCTCGGACGGACCTGACCTACTAAACTCACTTTCTGTTTTAACCAGTTAGAGCCTCCCGCAGCCCATGTCCGGTAGTTGGATAATCCAGTAAACGCGCCAAGAGCATGTTGGGTCTCTGTGACTGCGTCCCATCGACACGCCATTTAGCTCCAGAAAGCAAATTAAAGAAAACTGAAGTAACACTGTTTGAAAGAGATCATTAAATGTATTTTGCAAAGCCTAAAGTTATATATTTAACAGTTTTTATATGTTGTATATTTGTAGAAAATCCTATTTAACAATTAATGTGGTCGCCTGGCCGTCCCGAGGGCAGCCAGGCCGGGCGGCAGGTGCCGGGCCGGTGGGGCCGGGGAACCGGTGGGGCCAGAGGGGACCGGTGAGGCCGGGGGGCTGGGAGGACCCGTGTCTGGAGCGGGCGGGCGGGCGGGCGGGCGGGCAGCGGCTCCCCCGGGCCTCCCCGGCAGCGGCCGTCGTGTGGTCTTCCTTCCCCTGTCCCCTCGCGCCCCGCGCCAGCCCCGGCCAGAGGGCCCCTCCCCACGACGTCCTCTCGCCGCGTCGGAAGGTCCAGACGGGGGTGGCCAGGTCGGGGAGGGCCTGTGGGCCCAGACTCCCCGTGGCGGGGGCAGCCAGGGGTGCGGGGCGCAGCCGCCCTGCCCTGGCCCTCTCGCTCCCCCGGGCCACCCGCCCGCCCGCGGAGGGAGCCGCCCGGAGGCCCCTACCAGGAGGACGATGCTAGTTCACGCTACCAAGTAACAGAGTAAAACACATAACCACATAGACGCTGTCCCAGCCCCATAGACTAAAGCTAGGAGAGAAACCCATTTATTTAAGGCCGATGTCCACGCGCATTTAACTGCCCACAGACCAGCGCTGACCGCCCGCGCCCGCCCGCGCCGCCCGCGTGGTGGACAGCGAGGGCCGACACCGCGGGGGTCCGAGGCGGGAGATTCGAGGTGTTGCAGCGTTTTTTCTCATGTTTTACAGTATTCAATTTTGTGTTGATTCAGCTAAATTATGAAATAAAGAAAAACTCCTTTATAAGCATGGCTTTTGTTCGATGGGTGGCGTCGCGGCCGGGCCGTGGGCAGCGTCAGGCCTTGGCTGGGTGCCGGCTCCCCCGAGTCCAGCTCTGACGCGGGGCCTCGCACGCCCGGGCCAGCAGAGCCCATGAAGGCGCTCGGGGACTTGCAGGGGAGACCCGTCCCGGGAGCCCTTGGAGATCCCAGAGGCCATCGGGCCGGGGGCTCCCAGCGTCCACTCCGCAGGCCGCGGCTCAGGCGGGTCCCGCTGGGGCATCAGCCACCCCGCTGCCGTGAGGAGACCCACTGTCCCGGGGCCGTGCGGGGCGGGGCTTGGCCAGAGCGGGGACCCCCGTGGGGCCTCCAGGCAAGGTGCTGGGTGCTCCCTGGTAAGCAAGGACAGGACCCGGCTGTGGACAGGCGGGCCCTCTGCACCCCTCCTGTGGCCTCACTGCTGAGGGTCCTGAGAGCTGCTGTGTCCCCAGTGCCGGCAGCGCCACCCACAGACAGGAGGACGCCCCGCTGGGTCCAGGGCAGCAAGAGCTTCCTGGCCCGGCCACCGCATGGGGGTGACGGGGGAGCCCAGCAGAGGCCAGCAGGCCTGGGCATGGCTCCACGGGGACAGCCGTCTCTGAGGCTCCCCCAACACGGGGCTCTGCCCGCCACCCGCACACACTGGGGGCAGCCACAGGGGCTCTAGAGAGGGGCCACTTGCAGGGCCCACGTGCCAGCTCCCCTCCCCTGCCGCAGGCTCTGGCCTCCGCCCGCAGGGTGCTTCTGCACGGGCTGGGGCCCGGTTTCGGGGCAGTGGTCCCTGTAGTTGCCACTATCGGCGCCACAGGCCTGCCCATGCTGGCCCTGGCCACCACCCCAGGGCACCACCCCATGGGAGACATGTGTGGCATGCAGCGCCTCTGCTCATTACCCGCCACCCTGAGCAGGTACCTCGTAGGAGGGTCCAGGCGAGCCCAACACCGGGCCTGGCCTCCAGGGACCCCGGGGAGGCGCTCAGAGGCGTCGCAACACAGTCAGAACCGGGCGCCCGGCATGGCCAGCAGCAGTACCAGGTGCCTTCCGCACCCTCTGGAGTGGCCCCCACCACCCACAGTGTCCCCCATATTGTCCCCGGGTGGCCTTGCTGAGGTCCAGGGCTGGCCGCTGCATCATTCTCTGCAGTGCTGACCCGTGGCTGAGAAGCTGAACCCCCTCTTAAGGAACCCCCTGTGGAGCCAAGGACCCAGATTCCTGAGGACCCGGCCATGCCGGCTGGTCTGAGCTGAGGCCCCTGGCAGGGCAGCGCCGGGCCGGGTCTGTGTCCCCACCTCCACTGTCCCTGGGCCTCCACCCCAGCTCCGCCTGGCCACGCGGGCCCCGGCGGGGTCCAGGCCTTCAGCCACAGGCGGCCCGGGCTTGTCTGCAGGGACAGGCCACCCCTCTGCTCAGGCCGTCCCGCAGGTCTGGGTCCTCTCCGTCCCATCCAGCTTGCTCGGGGGACACCATCTCGGTGCCTGCGCCCTCGTCCTCGGGCCAGGCTCGGGAGCCGCGTCAGCTGCCCCCACGGGCGGCACCTCGGTGCATCCGGGGCTGGGCTCCTGGTCGTCTGTGCCTCCTGGTGGCCTCTGCCCTGCCCACCCCGCTTCCAGGCCGAGGGCGGCAGCCCCCCACTCACCGCAGGGCCTCCCGCCCCAACCTCAGCTTGTCTGGTCCCGCCGAGAGCCTGCGCGGTGCTGATGAAAACCACTGAATTTATGGATCCGCGTGAAAAACTGACGTGTTAACGCTCCTGGGCTTCCTGCAAACGGACACGTCAACGCTCGTGTGCGGGTCTCCGCCCAGCCCCTCTCCCGAGCCGGCTGAGCCTGCAGGGTTGGTCCCTGTTGTATTTCCCCGCAAAGCGACTCGGGGCGGCTGCCACGGCGGGAACAGCCTTTGCTGCCATAAACCTTCGTGGTCCTCCCTGGGGGTTGGGTCTCGCCACTGGACGGCGCAGCCGGCGGCCTCGGGCTGACCTCCTCGGTTCTCCACCCCCCACCCGCCCTGGGAGCCGCCTGGGAGCCGCAGGGACCCAGGGGTGCCGTGGGGGTCGCTGCATTTCAATTGCTAACGTCTTGATTGGGTTTTAGAAACGCTGCGCTCAAGTCCACTGACCTGACACTTTCTTTCTCACGCTGCCCCTGCCTGGCTGGCGTCAGAATTAGACCCCCCTCCCGAAAGGAGTCCCTTCACCCTCACCGTCTGGAAAGTGTCCGTCGGCTGTCGGGAAAGTCTCCCTGGAGCCCTCCGTGCCGGGCACGGGCGGGTGTGGGGACAGCGCCTGCGGGACGGGCCTCGGGCGGGCATGGCCTGTGCCCAGGGCCCACCGAGGGAGGCAGGGCCCGCGGCGGCAGAGACAGAGCCAGGCAGAGCCGCGGCGCGGAGGCGGGGCCGGGGGACGCCCACCGCCTCTGCAGCGGGGCCGCGGGCCGTGGGGGTGGCTGACGGGAGACCGTAAAATGGGCCATTTGCCTTTATTTCCCTATAACCTTGGACTTGGCAAAACTCTCCAAGTGACTGACTTGAATGGAACTGAACGTCAGCGAGGTGGCAGCTCGACCAGGCCTGTTTTCCAGGCGCCGTCACCAGGCCTGCTGTCCCCGGACGCGGCCGCCGCCCCCGCCGAGCCGCCCGCCCGGACCCCAGGTCTCTCAGGGGCAGACTGGCCTCGGAGGGAGAGAGGCCGCGCGAGAGCCTGACGGCCCCGGCCTGGCTGGGACGTGGGGGCCGGGCGCGGGGAGAGGCCCCGGCTCAGGACCGGCCGCGGGGCCTGTGGTCTGCGCCCGGCGCCGGCAAAGACGTGGCAGCTGGGTCCAGTGCCCGTGGGGACAGCCAGGCCTTCCCCCAGGGGCGGGGGACGGAGTGCACGGCCAGGCCGCGCGTGGCTGTCGGGGGACCCGGGACGTGAGGGCGAGGAGGAGGCGCTGCCGGGGCCCGGCGCACGTCGGAGGAGACGCCCAGAAAGGCTCCGAGCCGGAGGCCCCGAGAGCGTGTGGCCGGCTTCGCCCAGAGGCTCTGTGTGTTAAGAGGGAGCCCACTGGGCGTGGGGGACGCCTCTGGGCAGGGGCCCCGCAGCGGTCAGCGCGCGCCAGGCCCCCCGCGAGTCCTATCCGCGCCATCCTCTGGGGGGAGGCTTGGGCGCTCCCTGCCCAGCCCAGGGCACCTGTGGCCGATGAGCCAACAGGCCGGCACGCGACCGGCCCTCGGGCGGGAGGTCAGCGTCCAGCCCCCACGCCGGGTCGCGCGGCAGGCGCTTCTCAGGCCGGCCTGTGTCCCGCCCGCCCCCAGGGGCCCCACCCGCGAACCCCAGGCTCAGCCCCGCCCCGGGCCGCCCCCGGGATGCGATTCTGCTCTTTGGCCTTTCTGCTCTGATGAGCCGCGCGGACCTCGTGACGGCAAGAAGGAGCTTCCGCAGGGGCGCGGCGGGCCTTGCATTATTCATTCCCAAATAAAAAATAGCAGTCCCTGCGACAAAGCCCCGCTGGTCGGTGAACCGCCGCCGAGGCAGGGGCCTCCCGCGCGGACCCCAGCGTCCCGCAGACCCCGGCGTCCCGCAAACCCGCTCCTGCAGCTCCAGGCGAGCCCGTGGCC